AGCTTTATCTCAGCTCTTCCCCCCCTGTCCTCCCCTCCGCTTGACAGTGCGTCTGCCTCGTGCATTCCCTTGGGATTGTCTCTCCCCCGTCCTCGCTTGCTCGGGGATTTGTCCTCGCCGCTCCTCCTCGCTTGGCCTGGCACTGACATTTCCCCATCCTCGCGCCTCCTTCTCCCGCCCTCTCCTTCTCCCCCTCGGGGCCACCTCCCCCTCCCCCCTCCATGACCATGCACAGACACGCGCAGGCAACACACCATGGTCAAATACATCGTCGTCTCTGGTGGTGTCATCTCCGGCATCGGCAAGGGCATCATCGCATCGTCGACGGCCCTGCTGCTGCGCTCCCTCGGCCTGCATGTGACCGTCCTCAAGGTGGACCCCTACCTGAACATCGACGCCGGCCTGATGAACCCCATCGAGCATGGCGAGGTGTTCGTGCTGGACGATGGCGGCGAGGTTGACCTGGATCTGGGCAACTACGAGCGTTTCCTCGGCGTGACAACCACCCGCAACAACAACATCACCACCGGCAAGGTGTACAACCAGGTCATCGAGAAGGAGGTGCGTCTGATCCTTGGGCTCTCTTCGTGGCATATTGTTTTTGCGCGCATGTGTGTCTGCTGCTTCCTGAGGGGCGTTTCTCTTGCTAATCCCCATGTGCTCCCCGTATGGGCCCGTCCTTACGCGCACATGCATATATGTGCGGGTGTGTCGGGGTCGGGGTCGATCCACGCCTCTCCTCCTTCTCCGGGTGGGGTGTGCTTGCACATTTTCCATGTCCAGCGCCGTGGCGACTACCTCGGCAAGACCGTCCAGGGTGCGCTGGGCTTTGCCCCTTTCCCGGCCGCGGGCTCCCCTCGGGCGTGGCTCTTCTCTGCATGCCACCATGGGACTGACCTTCCGCCGCCCTCTCGTTGCTGGTGAAAAAAAAACAGTCGTTCCCCACATCACCGACGAGATCCAGCAGTGGATCCAGGACGTTTCTAAGGTGGCCGTCGACGGGTCCGGCGTTGAGCCGGACGTCTGTGTGATCGAGCTCGGCGGCACGGTCGGCGACATCGAGAGTGCCCCCTTCGTGGAGGCCATGCGCCAGTTCCAGTTCCGTGTCGGCCGCGAAAACATCTGCTTCATGCATGTGTCCCTTGTGCCGGCCCTCGGTGCGGAGAACGAGCTCAAGACCAAGCCCACGCAGGCCAGCGTGCGCGATCTCCGCGGCCTGGGCCTCATGCCGGACTTTGTGCGTCGATGCCACGGTCGGGCTTCCGATTGTGGCCTTCCCTTTTGGCATCTGCTGGTGGCGGCTGAGCCTGCTTTGTGTGTTGACCTTCCTGACGCGGGTCCCCCCCTCCTCTCTCTCTCTCTCTCTCCCTCCCTCCCTCCCTCTGGGCGCCTCCTTCCGTTCTGTGGTCCCCTGCTCTCGGTTCAGATCATGTGCCGCTCCAAGATCCCGATTGAGCGCTCGATCAAGGAGAAGATCTCCATGTTCTGCAATGTCGGCGTGGACCAGATCATTTCGGTTCCCGACTCGCGGTCCATCTACCATGTGCCGCTGGCTCTGCGCAATGAGGGCCTGGTGACGCAGCTGTGCCTGCGTCTGAACCTGGGCCCGCCGCCGGCCGAGTCGCTGCTGCTGGATCGCTGGTCGCGTTTGAACGCTCGCTTCGACCGGGACATGAGCTCGCCGGCCGTGCGCATTGCCCTGGTCGGCAAGTACACCGAGCTCCGGGATTCCTACATGTCCATCACCAAGTCCCTGGAGCATGCGACCCTGGCTGTGGGCGGTCATCGCCTGGAGATCTCCTGGGTCGAGTCGTCGGACCTGGAGCCGGAGACGGAGATCCGCCAGCCGCTGCGCTACTACGAGGCTTGGCAGCTGGTTTGCGGCTCGGATGGCATCCTGGTGCCGGGCGGCTTCGGTGAGCGTGGCATCGAGGGCATGATCGCCGCGGCCCGCTGGGCTCGTCTCAACCGCCACCCCTTCCTCGGCATCTGCCTGGGGATGCAGCTGGCCGTTGTGGAGTTTGTGCGCAACGTCCTGAAGCTTGAGGGTGCGTATGGCCGTCTTTTCCCCCTTTCTTCATCTTTTCCTGTTCCCACCCAAGCACTGACCCTGATGCGCTCGTGCGTGTATATGTCCCTTCCCCCTCTCCCTCTTCCCCCCCCCCCCCATGCCTGCTTGAACACCACTCACGCAGACGCCCATTCGGAGGAGTTCCGTCCCGAGGCCAAGACCCCGGTCATTGTCCACATGCCCGAGGTGTCCAAGACCAAGCTGGGCGGCGGAATGCGCCTTGGCCGCCGCGAGTCCAAGTTCGTTGTCAGCCAGGAGGAGTCCATCGCCCGGCGCCTGTACGGCAACCAGGAGTCCGTGTTCGAGCGCCACCGCCACCGGTATGAGGTGAACCCGGAGCTGGTGGACCAGATCGAGGCCGCTGGCATGAAGTTCGTTGCCAAGTGCGAGCAGGGCAAGCGCATGGAGATCCTGGAGCTGTCCCATGTTTCGGTGCCGGCCACGCACCTGGACGCGGTGATCCCCCCGTCGGATGCCTTTGCCGCTCGGGCTGCCGCTGCCGCTGAGGCTGCCACTGGCGCGGAGGGGCACTCGCCTGCCGAGGCCTCTGATGCCGTGGCTGCCGCTGCCGCCATCCCCTCGAAGGACGGCGATTCCGTCCCGGAGGTCGTCCTCCCCCACCCCTTCTACGTGGCTACTCAGTTCCATCCGGAGTACCTGTCGCGCCCGCTTGAGCCCTCCCCGGTGTTCGTGGGCCTCATCCTGGCGGCCACCAAGAAGCTGGCCTCCTGGGTTGACGGCGAGGTGGCCCTGGGCTTCGACATCGATAGCCCGGTTCTCTCGCCCGTGAACTAGGTGCCATCGCCCGTGTTGTGCATGCTTCCTAGGGACGTGTGTATGCCCCTCCACACACACACACACATGCACACATATACACACACGCCTGTGCGCATGATGAATATGCATGTGTGCCGAGTCCCCCTCTCGCCTCCATGTACTCCTGCTCTGCTTGGACTTATGCTGCCACCCCCCCCCCCTCTGGTAGTTGTTACAGTGCACACATGGGGCCTTTCACATGCGTATCAGTGTATGTGCATATATGTACCATATGTGCTGTCTCGATCTCCGAAGGGTCCTGGTCGAGTCAGCTGGCAGATGTGTCCTCCTCCCTCCTTCTCCCTCCTCATAGGCGTATAAGTCCATGTCGCCATGTGTGTGTGTGTGTGTGTGTGTGTTGGCATGATATTTCCACCACTTGTGCTGTGCGCGCCTCCGTGGCACGAGGAGACAAAAAAAGACGGCCCTTTCAAATTTCACAATAAATCCAAGACTAGACCACCCCTCTCGTGCGTTGCGTTGGTGTTCAGCCGCCGCCGCCGCTGCCGTGGTCTGAATTGTCCATCTCCCCTTTGTACGACAAGATGGATGCCATTCTATTGCCATATGGCCCCGTGGGTGAGTGCGCCTGTGCGGCGTACGTGCGCCCTCGGCCTCGCGGGATAGGGGGGGGGACAGGGAGGAGGCCGCCGCGCCAGGGGGGCATTGCGGGGGGGGGGGGGGGGGGGGGTCTCCCCACCGGACACGGCCAAATGGTCAGTCCTCGCGGCGCTGGGACCGGTGATGTCCGCCCTGTGCCCCGGCCCGCCGGCGGCCACCGTCGCGCGTCGACTGCGATGACAGCAGCAGCATCAGGATGCGGATGATCTCCTTGATGTGAAGCAACAGCCGGCTGGCCTCGAGCACCGGGTCCGGGGTGGGCTGCCGCATGGTCACGGCCCACTCGTGTCGGCGGGCGATGAACTGCAACTCGGTGAAGAAATATGACACGCTCAGCGTAAGCAGCGCCAGTGGTAGCATGAAGGACATGTAGTGCGAGGAGAAGAGATGCCGCGCAAAGAAGGACCCAAGCAAGGCGAACATCGCCACCGAGGAGCCCTGTTCGATGACTGTGTTTCGACCCCGGCCATGGCACAGGCACAAGGATCGGCGACGGGCCAGGGTGGACAGTAGCGGTTAGTGGCCTTTCCAGCGACATCGCGCGTGGAGGGATGCATGGTGGGAGTCCCACACGCACGACGTGACACCCATGGCGGCAGAGCCAGCAGGTTGCCCTCCGTGGCGGCCACCATGCCGAAGAGAGCACTCTGCAGGAGGAAGACAAATGTGCCGCTGAGGTGGGTTTCATTTTGCCCGCCCGGCCGTGTGTAGCCCCGCCCGAGAGCCAGGAAAGTGTGTGTGAGTAGAAGGGCGGCAAAAAAAAAAGCGGCACCCTCCTCGAGTGAGTGAAGCATGAAAAAAAAAAGCAAGCAGAAGGAGGGGAGGGACCGGCGACCGGACGCACAAAAGCATGCTTGGCTGGTGTGTGAGCGGGGTAATCATGCTGAGGATGCGCGGGCCGAGCATGGCCGACATCAGGCCGATTGTGCCCAGACGCAGGTTCATCCACCCGGCCGGGGTGGTCACCAGTGATGACAGCGACCAGGGCTGGGCCGTGGTGGAGGCTGTGGGACGTTGGCTGGTGGCGCCGCAGTCAGCCGGCCCGGATGGGGCCGACGTCGGGGGCGGTTGCGTCGACCAAGCTTCCGTGAAGAAGGAGCTCAGGTGCGCGCGAAAGCTGGAGGCCGGATCCGGGCCCGGGCCCGAGGCGGCGGAGGCAGCCGCCGCCGCCGCCGCCGCAGCAGCCGGCGGGTCCCCCGTGTCAATGCGTGACCGGCGCCACCGGTAAGCCAGATACAGTTGCAGCACAAAAAGCCCGATGAAAACCATCTGGAAGAGAGGTGTCGGCAGGTGGAGGATGCCGGACAGGATCGGCACATGCAGCATATGCCCGTACACCGTCTCGTAGGCCGTTCGGAGCAGTGGGGTTTGGATGTTGAGGGCCGTCCCGACTGCCACACCAAGGAAGGTGACCGAGACCGTGCGGAAGATCAGCCGGAGATGCTGGCGCAGGTGGGGCGATGGCTCCTGCGTCGGAGGCCACACCGGTGGCCGATTCATGGTTGAATGTGTGTGTGTGTGTGTGTGTGTGTGTGTGTGGAGCACAAGAGGAGAGGCAAAGGGAGCTGTGCGAGGACAGGTAAAGAAGGGTCGACGGTTCGGGGGAGAGGGTGGGGGAGAGGAGGGAGCATTGGCCTACGGACGGGGCCGGCGAGCGCGCGCCTCCAGAGTTCCCTTTGGGTGGGCCGGCCGAGGAAGCGATCTTGCCCAGTGCCCGCAGATGCGCGCCTGAGGAGGGGGCCGGGGCGGGGGGGGGGGGGGGGGGGGCGGGGGGGGGGGGGGGGGGGGGGGGGGGGCGGGGGCGGGGGCGGGGGGGGGGAACCAGAGAGGGAACGGGCTGAGCAGTTAGTCCTCCATCAGGACTGGCCCACATCCGCGCGGCCTTGATCCGCCTTTGAACGAGTCATGGAGCCACGGGAGATCCCATCCCCGCACGGGGGTCGCCCCCGATTCTAGCCCCCCTCCCCCCCTGTCCCTGCCTCGGGGCCTTGTGAAAGAACACTCGCGATCCGACTGGCGGCCCATGGCTCGGACATATTCGGGCCATTGGCGGACATGGTTGACCAGTCCCACAGCTCGTCCTCACCCCCCCCCC